CGGCCCCCCTTGCCCCCCCACGGGCTCCCCCCCCGTGGGCCCAGCCACAGCGCCCCAAACCGCAGCTGGTAAGGACACGCCGTGGGGATGACGTGGGTGGGGGGGACCCCAAAAAATCCTGTCCCCCCCCTACCCATGCTGTCCCCTCCCCACCGCAGCGCTGCGGGACAATTTCCGCCTGCAGCCGGGTGATTTGGTGGCCACGGCGGGGCAAGCGTTGGAGCTGGATTGCGTGCCGCCCTCGGGGCACCCCGAACCCCGCGTCACCTGGAAGAAGGATGGGGTGACCTTAGACTTGACTGGTGACCGGTACGTGGTCACCAACGGGAAGTTGCGGGTGGCACCGGCGCGACGGAGCGACTCCGGGCTCTACGTCTGCGTGGCGGCCAACGCGGCGGGCGAGAGGGAGAGCCGGGGCGCCCACGTCTCCGTCCTGGGTAAGCCGAGGGTCTCCCATGGGTGGTGGACACATCATGCCCAGCCTCGGTGCCACGGCCTCGATGTCCCCCCACAGAGAAGCCGACCATCGTGCGGCGCCCAGCTGATGCCGTAGCGGTGGCCGGCAGCACCGTGGAGCTGGGCTGCGGCACCCAAGGTGACCCGGCGCCGCGGGTGCAGTGGCACAAGGAGCACGGGGACCTGCCCTGGGGCAGGTAGGTGGTGGCAGGGTGGAGGTGTCCCATCCCCAGGGTGGGGCGGTGACAGGGCTGATGGAGACCTGGTGACCCGCAGGCATGAGGTGGACCGGGAGCACACGTTGCGCCTCTACGCCGTGATGCCCGCCGACGCCGGCACCTACGTGTGTACAGCACAGAGCCAGCTGGGCACCGCCGCCGCCACCGCCCGCCTCCGCGTGGAGGGTCAGTGGTGGGACCTCCACGGGCACCCAGGGCCATCTGGGGGTTCATGCAAGGGGGGCCATCTAACGGGATTCATCTAATGGGGTTCATCCAAGTGGGTCCTCCAAGAGGCGTCCATCCAAGGGGAGTCTATCCAAGGGGGGTCCAACCAAGGGGGTCCATCCAAGGTGCTCACCCAAGGGAAGTCTGTCCAAGGGGAATCCATCCAAGAGGGATCCATCCAAGAGGGGTCCATCCAAGGAGGTCATCCAGGGGGAGTCCCTCCATGTAGGTCCAGCCAAGGGCATCCAGCCAAGGAGGTCCACCAAAAAAGGGTCCATCCGAGTCATCTAAGGGGGTCCATTCAAGGAAGGTCCATCAAAGGGGGTACTTCCGCAGGGGGATCCATCTCAGGAGGTCCATCTAAAGGCATCCACCCAACAGGATACACCCAAGGGGTCCACCCAAGCATGTCCATGTAAGGGGACCCATCTAAGGGGTCGCATGCAGGTGGGGGTCCATCCAAGGGGATCCATTCAAGAGAGTCCATCTAAAGGTGATCCATCCAAGTGGGTTCCTCCAAGGGGATCTATTTAAGGGGATCTGTCCAAGGTGGGGTGTCCATTAAAGGGGGATCCAACAAGAGGTATCCATCCAAAGGGTCCATCTAAGAGGGATGCATCAATAGGGGTCTATCACGGGGTCCATCAAAGGAGGTCTATCCAAGACGGATCCATCAAAGGGTGTCTGTCCATCCAAGAGGTGTCCATCCAAGGGATCCATTTGAGTGGGTCCTTCCAAGGAGACATCAGGGTCTCCAGGCATGGGTATCTGGGGTGGGTGCCTGGGCAGGTGCTGGAGGACCTTGCTCCTGCCCGGCGCTGCTGTCAGCCTCCCTCTGCCCCACAGACCGGCTGCCGACGGGCCGGCGGGAGGCTGCACCCCGGGACCTGCTGGCCATGAGGCTGCACCTGGACAATGGCACGGCGCTGCCCGCGGCCGCCGTCCAGCTTCGCTGGCGGGTTGGTGTGATGCCAGGACGTCCCCACCAGTGGGGTGGGATGGGACATAGGGATGAGGTCAGAGGTCCATCCCCATGTCCCATCCGCGTCCCACCGTACCTCGTAACCCTTCCCATCCCCTCCAGATGCTGACACCGGCGCTGGCGCCGGAGGGCTACGTGGTGCTGTACCGCTGCCTGCTCCCTGCCAGCACCTCCTGGGTCCAACACGATGCAGGCAGGGAGCTCAGTGCCGTCATCCCCGCGCTCCGCAGGGGCTACAAGTACGAGTTCAAGGTCCGACCCTACGCTGGAGGGACCCAGGGCTTGGACAGCAACATCAGGCACCTCTGGATACCCGAGGAAGGTCTGCTGGGCGTGAGGTGGCCCCAGGGATGCCCAGGTGAAGGATGGGGGGGTCGGCTGGGGGTCCCGGTGGTCTCAGCACCCCTGTCCCGGCAGTACCAAGTGCAGCGCCCCAGCACGTCACCGTGGGCCAGGCTGAGATGGGGAACGGCACCGTGGTCGTGAGCTGGGAGCCACCTCCTCCTGAGGCCCATAATGGCATCATTCAGGGCTACAAGGTTTGGGGGGATGGGGTGGGGGGAGGCTGGGGGGCTTCTGGCCAAGGAGGGTCCATCCAAGAGGTCTGGCCAAGGGGGATCCATCTGAGGAGGGAGCCTTTCAAAGGTGGGGGGCTATCCAAGGGGGGGCCACCCAAGAACTCCATCCAAACGGGGTGCATACAAGGGGTCCATCCAAGAGGGATCTCAACAAGGGGGTTCATCCAAGGGGTCCAGCCAAGGTGGGGGTCCATCCCAGGAGATCCATCTAAGCAGGGAATGCATCCAAGGAGGTCCATCCAAGGGGTCAATCTAAGGAATGGGGTCATCCAAGTGGATCTAGCCCACGGGGGTCCATCCAAGAGGGTTCAACCTAAAGGATTCATCTAAGGGGGGTCATCCAAGGGGTCTGTCCAAGAGGGATCCATCAATGGGGGTCCACCAAGGGGACTCACCTAAGGGGACCCATCCAAGGGGGTTCATCCAAGGGGGTCCATGCAAAGGGGTCCATCCAAGAAGGATCCATCAGTGGGGGTTCATCTAAGGGGGTCCATACAAGGGGGTCGATCCAAGGGGCGTTCATCCAAGGGGGTCCATGCAAAGGGGTCCATCCAAGGAAGGTCCATCAAGGGGATTCATCTAAGGGGGCCACTCCTCTTCGTGCGTACCAGGTCTGGTCAATGGGCGAGGGCTGGCAGCGCCCCACCAACAGGACAGTGGATGGAGGCACCCGCCGCCTGGAAACCCTCCTGCCGAGCCCCGGGGCCGAATTCTGCGTCCAGGTGGCGGCTTTCAACAGCGCGGGCCTGGGGGTCCCCAGCAATGCCACCTGCAGCGTCCTGGGTAGGGGACGGGGAGCGAGGTGGGGTGCAGGTGGGGGGTCAAGGTGGTGGCACAGGGGTGACGTTGGTGGGACCTTTGCAGGGCTGACGGCAGGGAGCAATGGGGTGGTGCGGGCGCTGCAGCAGCCCGCTGTCATCGCAGCCGCCGGCTCGCTGCTCTGGTTGGCCTTGCTCGCCCTCCTCCTCCTCCTCTGCCAGCGCCGTGCCAGCCAGGACGCTGTGGCTCGCCACAGGTGAGTGGCTGTGGGGTGAGGGATATGGGGGGACCCCAGCGTGGTGGGGACAGGACACCCTGATGCCACCCCTTGCCCTGCAGGCTGGTGGCTGGGGAGCCGCCGCAGGCGCGGGGGCGCCGGGAAC